TTTATCTCTCCCTCTTTCTCTCCCTTTTCCTTTGTCTTTTTTATTGGAAAGACAGATTTACAGAGAGGACAGAAAGATCTTCCATCTGTTGATTCATTCCCCAATCTAACTGATCCGAAGCCAGGAGCCAGGAACTTCTTCCAGGTCTCCCACATGGGTTGCAGGGTCCCAAGGCTTTCGGCTGTCCTTGACTGTTTTCCCAGGCCACAAGCAGGGAGCTGGATGGGCCATATGGAATTAGAACTGGCGCTCATATGGAATCCCAGTGAGTGCAAGGCAAAGACTTTAGCTGTCAGGCTACAATGCCAGGGCCATAAATTATTTTTTTTAAAGATTTATTTTTATTATTTTTTTATTGGAAAGGCGGATATACAGAGAGGAGAGACAGAGAGGAAGATCTTCCGTCCGATGATTCACTCCCCAAGTGAGCGCAACGGACCGATACTATGCCGATCCGAAGCCAGGAGCCTCTTCCGGGTCTCCCACGTGGGTGCAGGGTCCCAAGGTTTTGGGCTGTCCTCGACTGCTTTCCCAGGCCACAAGCAGGGAGCTGGAAGGGAAGCGGGGCTGCCGGGATTAGAACCGGCGCCCATATGGGATCCAAGGCGTGCAAGGCGAGGACCTTTAACCACTTGCGCCACCGTGCTGGGCCCTAAAATTTTTTCTTTATTTTGATAATCTTTACATAGTTGATTAGGGCACAAAGGGTCAAGGGTTACAGGAACGTGGATAAAACCATTAATACTTTGTAAAAAAAAAAAAAGGTTAGTTTCTTTTGGTGCAAATTTAAATCTACCTATATAGTGTTTAGTATTACATATTTTCTTTGAACTTTGGGCAGATCCAATCTTTCTTTGTGTTAAACACCTTTTCATTCCACTCCTGGATTATCCCTAGTTTTCAGCTATTAGGAATCAAGCTGCCATCTTTTTTTTTTTTTTTAAGATTTATTTTTATTGGAAAGGCAGATTATACAGAGAGGAGGAGAGACAGAGAGGAAGATCTTCTGTCCAATTATTCACTCTCCAAGCGGCTGCAACAGCCAGAGCTGAGCCAATCCGAAGCCAGGAGCCAGGAGCCTCTCCTGGGTCTCCCATGCAGGAGCACAGTCTCAAGGATCCAGGCCGTCCTCGACTGCTTTCCCAGGCCACAAGCAGGGAGCCGGATGGGAAGTGGGCCCATCAGGACCAGAACTGGTGCCCATATGGGATCCCGGGCTTGGAAGGTGAGGACCTTAACCACTACGCTATCGTGCCAGGCCCAAGCTGCCATAGCTGAAGTCCCCACCTGTGCACACAGCTGTTATTTGCATGGGGGACTTTTGCACTTAACTGTGCGAAACTCAGACTTCCACTGAAGACAGAGAAGCCGTCCAGAGCCATGGCCTCAGGGCCAGTTGCTCAGAGTCAGGGGAGGACAGCTACAAACTGCTCCACAGGGAAAGAGCACTTCCCAGGTGGTTAAAGGCGCGTGGCTCCTCAGCTTCTTCCCTCCTGCTGGCCCACATGGCACGGTGCAGTGTACACAGCAGGGATCCCATAAATGCAAACCCAGTAGCCCAGGGCGAATGAGCTAGTGGGGAAAAAAAAAAAAAAACTGAGCTAGTGGCCTGGTTCCCGCACGATCTCTGCTTGCTTTGCCTGCAAGCTGTTCCCTCCTTGGCATGGTGGCAGCAGCTCCTGGAAAGAGGCCGAGGCTTCTCCTCCCATTGCCCGCTGAAGCCCTGGAGAAGTGGTGCCTCAGTAGCCAGCAGAGGACGGGCTGGGTGGGGGGCTCAGGAAGCACCCAGGGCTGGGCATCAGGAAACTAGACTCAAATCTTAAGTTACTGCCTCTTTGGTGGTTTCATTTCTGGGTGCTCAATGATCGGGAGCCTCCTGCAGCCTCCGGGATGGACGTAACAGTGCCCCTTCCTGGTGACACCAGCACACATGAGAAACAACGTTACTGGGGGGGAGGTGGTCAAAGGCGCCCTCGCTGGTGGTGGCATCTGCAGGGAGGGCTTATTGGAAATTCACCATTCAAACCAGGGGAGGGCGCCTAGACCCAGCACAGCCTCTGGCCCACAGCTCCTGGCTGTGCCCTCACCCTCAGCCCTTAGGCAGCGATCTAGGTCGGTGTCTGGCCTGAGCTCCCCATGTCTAACGTGTGAGTCCCAGCTGGGGTGTGGGGAAGCCCTGGCAGGTGCCAGGAGGTTGAATGGAGGCACGAGCCTTGGACAGGCTTCCCACACCTCACTCAGGTGGGTTCTGTCACAGGGTAGCAGATCAGCTGTGACACCAGCATGGAGGACGAGGGCCTGCCTGAGCACTGGAGGTGGTAACGGCCTTCCCAGCCCCTCCGAGGGCTGCCATTGAGCCTTAGTGGGACAAGTGGCAAACACTGGACAGGGGGCAGCTGCTCATGTGGGGAAGAGCCAGAGCTGGCAAGGCCCCCATCCTCTAGCACCTCCTGCCAACCTGCTGCCAACTCTGCTGACTTCCCCTCTTAGGTGTTTAGGGAGCCTGACCTCTGGCCCCAGGACTGCTGAAAAGGGCAGCAGGGTCCTGCCCACTTCCTCTTTTCTGAGTACAAGGGCCTTCCGGCTGCCACACCATCCTCACTTGAAGACACCTGCCTGTGGGGAGACCACACCATGTACCCTCACATAAAGGCAGGGCCCCCCGCTCCTCTCTCCAGCAAGATTCTGAGGGGCACTGCTCCCAACAGGCCTCACAGCTTCACCCCAGCAGAGCCCTCTGGATGCTCGGCACCTCTCCTGCCCCAATACTGGGTCTGCCCATGAGGGCCTGCTCTGTGGGTGCAAGGTCAGCTTGAGGTCAAGGCCCAAAGCTCCCACGGGGACTGGGGAGGCAGGTACTCAAGAAGGGGGATGCTGCACTGCCCCTTGCCCCTGCCCTAACCCCTCCTACTGCTTCAAGTGGGCAGAGCTCCACGTGGGCATGCCTGAGGGAAGGTACCCAAAGGTGTCAGACACAGGGTAACTGCTCCAATGTACTCCTTGGATCTTCCTCCAATCTTCCCGAGGTGTCTCCTGGAGGGCATCTCTTCCCAGGCCCAGGACACAAAGCGCCAAGTCCTTAGGCTTCATACCCTGTGACCACCTGGCACCACCTCCCTCCCTGACAGGTGCCCCACACCATGGCTGTGATGCCTTCAGCTTTCTAGTTAACTCCTCCCCCCAGGGGAACCCTAAGATCCAGCTCACACACCACTAACCCTCTTCCTTCCCCAATCATGAGGCCTTTCCCTGCCTGCTGCAGCAACCATGAGGGCCCAAGAACAGCCTCCCGCACCCCTGGGCTGCCCCTCTTAGAAGTTCCCTCCCTAGTTCCCACTTCCTGTTCCCCAAACTGGAAGGCCAGGTGTCCCCCAGCACATTGAAGCTATCAGTCAAGGTGGGGCAACCCCTGGGATGAGGCAGCTGTACCAGCAGCTCTGGGGACTAGCTGCCAACACAGTAGTGATATGCACCAGGAACCAGGAGGTGGACCGGAAGGAGCTCCCAGGGGATATACTGCCAGCTCTGGGAGCACAGGACCCCCCACCAGCCAGTTACCAGGCCCAGCACTTGCCTCTGCAGAGCTCACAGCCCTAAACAGGCCCAGGTGAGCGGGTGAGGCCTCCCCTCCCACATGCTCACGCTTGTACAAACTAAGGAGAGTAAGACCAGTTCCCCATCTTGGCCAAAACCCTTCCCCTCCTTCATTGGTCAGAAGCCCGTGACTGAAAGCTGTGGCCCAAAGGTTTCCCAGTGCCAGTCCTACAGGAAGACTGCTCAGGCCAGCCCCACCCCAAGCCCAAGGCAGCCCAGGAGCCACCTTCCACAGGTGGATGGAGCCAAGGGCCCTAACCCCCTTTGGCGGGGCAGGAGCCTTCGGGCAGCGCACGGCTACCCCTTGCGGCTTTGTTCTGTGGCCGGGCAGCCTCCCAGCCCAAGGGTCAGCTGGGAACGGCATCTGCCAGGGTACTGGAGCAGGTCCTGGGGTCTGCAGCACCTCACAAGGCCACACCCGTCACCGTCACCCCCTACCCTAGGTATACACTAACTGGAAAAACGCAGCTCTCTCCCCGCCTCCCTCCCAGGAGATCCAAAGCTTGCTGTACCCAGGGCACCTGCCAGGCAGCGAAAAGCCCAAAGTGCAGCCTGTGCAGCTGGGCGAAGGCCTGGGCCCAGGGAACGCCCTTTTGGTTAAACATAGGGAGGGGGGCGGTGAGGCCCAAGCACCTGGGTCAGTCTGAAGTCCTGGGCTCTGGCTGGCCCCACCCAGAATGGACTCCAGCCCCACACTCAAGGCCAAGGGCACCCCTTGGCCTCTGACTCAGTTGCCACTGAACCCGGCCCTCATTAATGTGAGTCAGCTGTACAGGAGACAGCAGGACCGAGAAGGTGCAACAGGCAGCCCAGCAAGCCACCTGACCGCTCAGGGCACCGCAGAGGCCCTCACTGCACACCAGGCAAAGCCCCTTTTGATAAGCAACCGCAGCCAGGAGCAGACCCCCGCCCCAGGCACTGACACTCTGAAATGGCTCATCTGGTACCATCCATGGCACAACCAGGAAGGTAGTGACTGCTCGGCCAGGTCAGAGAATGCTTTCTGGGGGCAAGCTCCTATATGCACTGGTCACCCCTCCCAGGTCTGGACAAACACTAACCCGTGAGCCTTCTGAGGGAGGCGCACTGGTGCAGTGCACCACGCTGCTGCTCTGGACACTTGCGCCTAGGGCACAGGATGCGACTCCAGTCCTGCCACCCTGCACTTCTAATCCAGCTTCCTGCTAAAGCCCATGGGCCGAACCCTGCCACCTGCGCGGTGAGCCAGCTGATGAGCAGGCTGGGCTCCCTGCCTGTCAAACAAAGAAAATCTCAAACAAAAACTTCTTATTGTCTTTTTTTTTTTTTTAATTGAAGGTCCCTTACTGTTTCTGCTTCCATAGTGATGGAGACCAGGGTGTATGTGGGGGGGGGGGGGCCAGCCAGCAGGGGAGGGGTCGTCTCCACAACATTCCATTTACACACAGAACTAAACGAACAAGCACGGAGTCACTACTGTGGTTAGAAGTTGGCAGCACGGGAAGGGACGGGAGCAGGTTATCGTTAAAAAAAATACAGGACTGCCCCCCAAACATGGGCGCCTGGGGGAGGGAGATTGGTCTATTCAACCCAAAAGGAATCAGATCGGAAGCGGTTTGTGGGGGCCAGAGCCATCAGGGCTGCAGGGGAGAAGAGGGGGAGAGCGGGTTGTTTGGCAACTGGGGCAAAGGGACTGCCCTCCCCCTGCTGGTTCCCCCAGCCCCTCCGGTCTGGCAGGGAGGGGGCAGCCTGCAACCCCCAAGGGCAGACACGGGGCTGTGAGACACTGGGCAGGGCTGGGGGGCTCACAAGGGCTTGCCCTCCAGAGAGATGACCGCACTGCCCCCCAGTTTTTCGGCCAGGGTGCAGCGGTCCTTGACCTCCTCGTAGCAGTTGGCTTGTAACTCGTGCTTGATCCCTGCAGGGAAGAGGGGAGGTCGTGAGCAGGACGCAGGGGGAGGAGCGGCCGGGGGAGGAGCGGCGGGGGGAGGGCAGACCCCAGCCAGCCGCCCGCCCGCCGCACAGGCCGTACCTGTCAGCTTCTTCTTGATGGCGTCCTTGGAGCTGGCGTAGATCATTTTGCTCTTGAGGGGCGCGCACTCCGGGGCCCTGGAGAAAGCAGAGGGGCTGGCAGCGGACCCCCAGCAGGTGTCTGCACCCCCGCCCGCCCTGCCCTCCCAGCGGCTCACCAGAAGATGAACACCAGGTCCTCCTTCTTGCTCTCCTTGGTCTCGTAGGTGGCGTCGTACAGCGCGTAGCGGCAGTCCTTGTCCGGCAGCATCTTGACGAAGGTGGCGTAGGGGTCGTCCACGGTCTGGCCCACGTCGCCCACCAGGATCTCCTTGCCCTCCTCCAGAATGATGTTCTTCTTGTCCTCGCTCAGGCAGAACAGCACCGCCTTCTTGCGCTTCTTCACCTCCTCGGGCGTCGACGACTTGCGCACCTTCATGTCGTTGAACACCTTGATGACGCCGTCCGACACCGCCACTCCAGAAGCCTAGTGGGCGAGCCACACACGGCCGTGAGGATGGGCACACGGCCGGCCTGGGGGGGAGCCCCCCACCCAAAGCCCTCAGTCCCACTTCCCGGGTCATTAGGCCTTCCCAAGACTGCCACTATTTCACCCCAGGCGGGCAGGTCCCAGCACCTCAACCCCGTCCAACGTCCTCCCTCGCCGTGGAAGCCTGGGGAGAGCAAGGCCCGGGCAAGCCCTGGGTCGCAGTCGCTGCTTACAGCTCTCGGCCTCTGGACGTGGGCGCCCACCGAAGCTAGGACCCTCAGTCACCGTGCACTCTCCCAACAGGAAGCAACTGGGCACTCCGCTGTACCCGGAGGCATGCCAACAGAGGCCCTCCGGTGCCAGCCAAGCTCACGGGAACGGCTCAACCCAACCAGCAAGAAAACCAACGTGAGCCTCCCACGCTGGGGTCTCTCCCAACCGAGGGAAGAATCACAACAGTCCACTTAGATGCCCAGCCGGCCACTGCTGGCCCGGGGCCACAGGCCTGAAGGCGGAGGGCCCAGTGGCTGGGCTCCCCATCCCGCCTCCCGCTGACACCCAGATGGCCCCAGGGGTGAGGATGGCGGGCCCTGCTACCCATGCAGGAGACCAGGATGGCAGCCACAGCCTAACCCAGAAGGACTGCCCTGGCCACCGGCAAGTAAAACAGCCGAGGAACGTTCTCTCGCGATAAATAAAACGTAAGCAAAAAAAACAAAAAAAATACAAAACCCAGCACAGCACGCCCGCTGCGGAGCCGCAGGACCACGGCGCCCGGCGGGCAGTGTCCAGGAGGGGACGCCTGCCCCCCCAGCTGCAGAGGAAGCTGGCCACGTGACCGCGCCGCTTCCGGAGCAGGCGGGGAGAGGGCGGCGGGCGGCCCCCTGCCCAGGCCCACCCGGGGGCAGCGGCCGGCCTGGGGGGCCCTGCGTCCGCGCCCGCAGGCGGGCCGACGGGAGCCGCAGCCGCCGGGCCCCACACAGGATGCGGGGTGCTTTCCAGGCGGCGCCGGCCCGGGGCAGCACTTCCCTAAACTCGGCCCCACCTGCCGGCCCCATCCGGGCGGCGGGGCCCGGGGTGCTGCGCAGGCGCCGCGCGACTCGGCGGGGTCCCCGCAGGCAGCCGCCCCGCTCCGGCTGCTGCCCGGCCACCTGCTCCGAGACGGGCGGCTGGGCCCTCGGGGTGGGCGCGCGCCGGGCTCCCTCGCGCGCGCGGCTTTTTGCTTTTATTATGGTCATCATTTCTTACGATCTTTTCCCTCCCTCTCCCCCGTGCCAGCCCCGGGGCCCCGGGCGCAGGGAGGCCGCCGCGTGCTGCAGCGAGACGCGCGCCCCGAGGGACGGTGCGCGCCGCCGATGCCGCGAGCGCGCGCGCCCCTCCCCCACGGCCGCGCCCGCCGGGGGGGGAGGGAGGCCGAGCGCGCACGCGCACCGCGCCGCCGCCCGCCCCCCTCGCTCTTCCCCCAGCGAGACCCCCTCGGCCCGCCCCGGGGCGCTCGGGACGAGAAACGGGGTGCAAAGGCCGCCGCCCGCTGCCCCCCGCGCGCACACGTCCGCCCGGGCCTGCCCGCGCTCACCATGTTTCCGGAAGCGAGAGGAAGATGGCAAAAGCGGAGGCCGAGGAGACGAGAGAGACGCCGCGGCAGCTGCCTGGCTCCGACTGAACGCGGCCTCTCCCGGCCCCTTCCGTTTAGTAGGAGCCGCACAATGAGGGGCGGGGCGGGCTTCCGGCGCTCCGGCCCCGGGGCCGACGGGAAATGGAGTCCGCGCGTCCCGTCGGGCTCCGCCGGCGTTCCCTAGCGTCCTCTCTGCTCGCCTCCCTGCTCCGCGCGGGGCATGCCGGGACCTGTAGGCCGAAACCGCCACGGCAGGCGGGGCCACAGCGCGGAGCGCGAGCTCATTGGCCGGATCGTCCCGGAAACGCTCTGAGCGGAGCCAATAAGGCTCCGGCGCTGGTAGTGTTGACCCGAAAACGCTCCCTCTCCTGAGGCTGTCGGTTCTCGAAGCGAAGCGAAACGATCCTCCGGAGACCGCGCTGGGGCGCTTTTCCGGATCCCCGGGGCTGTGGGGAGGGGCGGGGGTCGGGGTCGGGGGCTTTTCTGAGGAGATCTGGGTCTCCAGCGAGGAAAAAGGGCTGGGGCAATGTCCGCGGAGTGCGTCTCGAAAAGAAAGCCAGCGCGCATCAAAAAATAAGGTCCAGGGCTGGAGCAGCGACGGGAAGGCAGGTTTTCTTCACGGGCCCCTTCCAGGCCGTGGGAAAAACCGATGATAAACCAGGATTCCTCTCAGTTCTCTCTACGGCTGTAAACCTTAATTTAAAATAATAAAAACGGTACTCGCGGAGAACTCCCCGGAGATTTCCTCGGCCCCGAACGCCAGCCATGGCCAAGGACAAAGACGGGGGGAGGCCCGCTCCGAGGTGAACCCAGAAGCCGCGGGAGGCTTCGAGTCCCACGCAGAGGATAAAGGGGTTCCCACGGAGAGCAGCGCCCGCCGTCGGGGACACCTCGCGGGGCTTGTCGCCGGGGGCGGCCGCGCCCCGGGGAGGCCGCCCCTGGACCCCCAGGTCCCCGGCGCCCCTCGAGCCGCCGCCGACGGGGACAGGGCAGCCCCGGCGTTGCCCTGAGCAACCCGGGCGGGGGAGGAGGCCGCCGCGGTTGCCCTGGAGACGCGCTCCCGCCCGCCCCCTGGCCGCGGGATGCCCTAGATGTCCTTATTAGGGCATGAGCCGGGCGGGGGCGGCGCCAGGCGCGGCGCCGGCTTCGGGCTCCTTATAAGGCCGTGCCGGGAGGGCGGCGGGAGCCGGACCCGGCGGGCCGCGGGAGCGCCGGAGGGGCGGGGTCTCGGAGGGGCGGGCCTGGGGGCGGCGCCGGCCGCAGCTCAGGACGCCCGCGGGACCCCGGTGCCCAGCCCCAGTGCCCGGGACCACCCGCTCCCCGGGACCCCGGTGTCCAGCTCCAGTGCCCGGGACCACCGGCTCCGTTCCCGTCCTGAAAACCTCCGCCTGAGCGGCTGGGGGACGGGCCGGGGGTCCCCACCTGCGTTTAGGATCCTTCTCCCCCAGCCATCTTGCTCACCCAGGCCCATCCCCCTGCCCGATTCTGGCCGCCGCCACACCTGCCGGGGCTGCCCGGCACCTGCTCTTCCTCACTGACCTACTTCTCCGTGCTGTTCTCCGCCCCCTCGCCAGGCTACACCCAGCTGGGCCCTGCACCGCACACGCAGGACCCCGGTCCCCGGGGGAGCTCGGACCACCGCATTTTGGGTGGGTGCCTCCCCTGAGCCCCTTCTGAGGCTCATTCACAGAGACAGCTGCACTCCTTCGGCCTCCATTGCCTCTCCTCCTCTATATCCCCATCTCTCCCGGTCTTCTGGAGCCCAGGCGCTCATTTTGGCAAAGCTGAGGTGGAACAGGAACGCACCGAGGAGAGCTTTTAGCGCAGCCGAGTTGGGGCGCGTCCGTTAGGCGCGGTAGCACCCACACCCCAGCCCAGCCCACCCCACCCCAGCCCAGCCCCGAGCAGCCCTCCCAGCCGCCAGGGCGCGCTGCCCGCCACTTCCTCCTCGCCATCCAGGACACGACTCGCTTTCCAACCCGCGGTGGGAGGAAGGGGCGGGTCGGGGCGCGTCCGGCGGAGGCTCGTCTCTGGCCGGGAAGGGGGCACCCAGGAGAGAAGTGCGGGGTCCTAGCCATTTAGGGCCGCAGGGGGGCGGGCAGGGCCACGTGACTGCAGAGGTCCCGACCCTGGCCAGGTGTTCGAATCCCGCCCCCAGTACTTGTCGGCGTCCTCCGGGCCTCCAGAAAACTCAGCCCTAAGGGCGAGGGAGTTGGGGGAGGCTCATGGCGGCGCCGGTCCGCCTGGGTCGGAAACGTCCGCTGCCCGCTTGCCCCAACCCGCTCTTCGTGCGCTGGCTGACTGAGTGGCGGGACGAGGCGGCCAGCAAGGGCCGCCGCACGCGCTTCGTGTTTCAGAAGGTGGGGTCCCGGCTTGGGCTGCGGCGGACAGGTGCTGGCTCCCGCCGGGCAGACCCTGACCAGCACCCTAACCCTTCCGCCAGGCGCTGCGCTCCCTCCGGCGGTACCCGCTGCCCCTGCGCAGCGGGAAGGAGGCCAAGATCTTGCAGCACTTCGGGGACGCGCTTTGCAGGATGCTGGACGAGCGGCTGCAGCGGCACCGGGCGGCCGGCGGTGAGCGCTTCCCTCCAGCCCCGGGATTCTGCCGGACGCGGGGCCGCATCCCAGGCCTCTCAGAGCTGGAATACAGGGTTGCTCTGCTCCCGCAGGTGACAGCGACACCGGCTCGCCCTCTGGAGAGGAGAGTGAAAGGCGGCCCGCCCAAGTGCAGGACTCTTCCGTGTCAGTAAGGAGGGGCAAGGAAGGCCCGTGGCAAGCTAAGTGGGCGAGCGGAAAGTAGCAGGGTCTGCGGGCCTGGGCCTGGGGTCTCACCTGGGATGCCTGGTTTTGGGCAAAGGACATGCATAGTGTTTTAACTTGTCCCTTGACGTGTTGCTGACAGCTGCTGAGAGCGCCACCTGCAGCCACTTAGGGAAGCCCTGCCCATGAGCCGTGACACCGGCTGCTGCCTTCCTAGGGTGTGGGGCGGGCGGAACAAGGCTTGGCCTGCAGACACTCCCCCTTGGTCCGAGGGCATCAACCCATCAGTTTTACAGATTGAGGAAATAGAAGCCTCTGCGGAGGGGTGCTGGGGGAGCGTGGACCGCAACACCTCATCCCTCCCCGCTTCTCACCTTCCAGGTCTCCACCCAGCCACAGACCAGGGGTTCTGGTGGCTACTGGCCGCCTCGGCGCTCAGGGGCCCGGGCAATACTGCTACTGCTCTATCAGGAGCACCTGGTGAGAGCCAGGCCACCCGGGGGGGGGGGGGAACTGGGGCACCTGGGAAGGGGCAGGTACAGGGTGGCTGGAGGAGCCTGTGGTGGGCACAGCAGGCACTGGAGCGGGGCGAGCAGGGTGCCCAGGCATGGGACCCACGCTGTCGTTCCCCTGGTTTCAGAGTCCCGAGGGCCAGGGCTCCCTCACCAAGGAAGTACTGCTGCAGAAGTGTGCTCAAAAGGCAGCCGAGGTGAGCGCTCTAAAGCCGGGTGCGGGCCTTCGCAGGCCTGGGCTCGCCAGCATCTCCCTCTGGCTTTGCAGGTGACTCCTGAGAGTGGGCGACCCTGGCCAGCACTGCGCTCTCTGCTCCAGAGGAACCTGCTCATCAGGACGCACCAGCCGGCCAGGTAGGGCTGGGCAGGTAGAGGGAAGGGTTGCCGTGGCAACTGGAAAAGCTGAAAGCCTTTGGCTCAGTGCGATGGGATTGCACAGTGTGTCCCAGAGTTACTCCCTGCAGACCTGAGAAGGGACCCTGGCCAGGTCTGAGGACGCTGAGCTGAGGGGCAGGAAGGTGGGGGTGGGGAGGCTGTTCTTGTCCCTGCAGGCGAGGACAGCCCAGCTGGCGGCAGGCAGGAGGGCCTGCTGGGTGCCAGCAGAGAAGGGAGAGTAAGGTTGGTCTTTCCTGCCTCCCAGGTACTTCCTGTCCTCGGAGGGCCTGGAGCTGGCCCGGAAGTTGGCTGAGTCTGAAGGACTGGGCTCTGTGTGTGGCGGTGTCAGACCTGAACGGCCCCCTGGGGAGGAGCCAGCTGAGCCAGGAGCCGCCCCAGCTGAACTGTGAGGAGGGGCTGGGGCGGGGGAGTGGGAGGGCCCTGCAAAGGAAGCCAAGCCCCACCCCATCCCTGCAGCCTGCAGCTGGGGGGACCGCTCCACCCCCAGTGCAGGCTGTGCCCTGGCACCGGGGCGCTGCCTCAGGTGAACTTACTCTTCCCCTCCCCACAGTGGCGCCAGCGAAGGGGGTGTCCAGCAGCTGGAGCTGGGGCCTGGGGAGTACAGGGTGCTCTTATGTGTGGACATTGGCGAGACCAGGGGGTGAGTGAGGTGGCGGAGGGGGCCCCAAGAGCCCAGCAGAGCATGCCGGCAGGAGGGTGGAGCCTGGCCTGCCCTGACCTTGGCTTCCTTGCTCCTGCACCCCCGCAGGGCGGGACACCGGCCTGAGCTGCTGCGGGAACTGCAGCGGCTGCGTGTGGCCCACTCGGTGCGCAAGCTGCATGTCGGCGACTTTGTGTGGGTGGCACAGGAGACCAGGCCCAAGGACCCAGGTAAATACATGGGCAGGGACCGAGGCAGGGCCCCGTGGGTGGGGGTTGCACACTCAGGAGAGTGTCCTCCGCTTCTTGCAGCAAGGCCCCGAGAGCTGGTGCTGGACCACATTGTGGAGCGCAAGCGGCTGGACGACCTGTGCAGCAGCATCATCGACGGCCGCTTCCGGGAACAGAAGGTGCCTGCCCAGGCCTGCCACAGCCCTGCCTGGGCTCTGCTGCTCCCCTGCCCACTGCCTGTGCCAGTACCTCAGCCCTCAGGGCTCCAGGGGCCAATCTGGGACACCTCATGGTGGCTCCCCCCTGCAAGATTCCAGCTGCATTCATTAGAGCTGCTCCAGGCAGCCCTCCCCCGGCAGGTGCACAGCAGAACTGGGGGTCCCCAGGCCTTGCAGTCCAGGATACACCAGGCTCAGACTTCTAGGAGTGGAATCTGAGCCGCCGTGCCTCAGCCCTGCTCTGGGGCTGATCCCATAGCCAGAGGTTTCAGGGAAACCAAGGCAGGCCTCAAAGGCCCTTCCTGTTTGGACTGTGACCTAAGGGGACAGCCCAGGTCTACAGGTGTCACAGTCTAACCCCCCACTCCCCAGTTCCGACTGAAGCGTTGCGGCCTGGGACGTCGAGTGTACCTGGTGGAGGACCACGGCTCAATCGAGAACCTCAGCCTTCCGGAGAGCACGCTCCTGCAGGCAGTCACCAACACGCAGGTGACCTGCCAGCTCAGGGCCAGGCTAGGGGGCAGGGGGGTGACGTGTGGCCTGTGGTTCCAGCCAGAGCCACCAGTCCCAGCCTGGGTCCCTGTGCCTAGGTCATTGATGGCTTCTTTGTGAAGCGCACAGCGGACATCAAGGAGTCGGCTGCCTACCTGGCCCTCCTGACCCGGGGTCTGCAGAGACTCTATCAGGTGAGCCGCTGCACCTGTCAGCCCGTGCCCCCGGGTGGCTCCCCAGACTTGGTGTTGGGCAAGGACCAGGCCAGCCTTGGTGCCCTCTTCTCACAGGGCCACACCCTACACAGTCGGCCCTTGGGGAGCCCAGGGGACCTGCACCCAGAGACAAGAACTGCCCCAAATCCTCTGTGCTCACTGCTCACCTTCAGTGACTTCAATGCTGGTGCCATCAAGAACAAGGTACTGCCTCCTCCCTCCCCAAACGGCCTCTCCTGCCAGGCCCTGGCCTTCCCTCATCCGGGCCCTCCCGTCCCCAGGCCCAGTCTGTGCGCGAAGTCTTTGCCCGGCAGCTGATGCAGGTGAGCGGCGTGAGCGGGGAGAAGGCCGCAGCCCTAGTGGAGCGCTACAGCACCCCTTCCAGGTGGGCATCCCTGCCCACGGGAGTCACCTCTGCTAGTGCTGGGGCGGGTGGGGAGGGACAACCTGAGTGCATCAGCTACGGACAGATGAATGGAAGCAAACAGGCAGCTGCAACCTAGGGCCCTGGTGGAGGTCCCGGGAAGGAGTGACTTCCCGTGTATCATGGAGGAGGGGCTGGGGAAACAGGGGTGCAGCTGTGGGAATCTACCCTGTCTGCCCAAGAGGGCGGGCGGTGGGCTGTAGCATTTCCCGGATAGGCCCTCAGCTTCCTCTGCCCCGCGCTGCGCCTCTCCTGCCAGCTGGCCTGTAGCCCTCAGGAATGGACCAGCTGCTGACCATCGTCCCTGTCCCCCACAGCCTCCTGGCCGCCTACGACGCCTGCGCCACGCCTAAGGAACAGGAATTGCTGCTCAGCACCATCAAGTGCGGGCGTCTGCAGAGGTGAGGCTGGAGGGCGCTGTGAGGGGGGGGGGCCGGGACTGTGCAGCCCCAAGTCCTGGGGCAGCCTGAGTACCTCTTCTCCCACAGGAACCTGGGGCCCGTTCTCAGCAGGACCTTGTCCCAGCTCTACTGCAGCCGCACTCCCCTGACCTGAAAGGGCCCCTCGTGCCCCAGCACCCAGGCCCACCCACCTTTTATTTAACCAGGCTACAATAAAAATCCTAGGATCTGCTCACAGACTTGCACATGGTAGAAGAGAGGGCTTCAGCAAATGGGTGCGATCTAGGGCGGCCCGGGGGCCCAGTGACCTTCAAAGCGAGTTCCACGGGCCTGTGGGACAGCGGCCGTGGGGCCTGGCGACTTGGGAATCTGGTTTGTATAATCAGTGGGTCTTGACCAACTAAAATTCCTTCTGGCGAGAGCTTGCAAAAGAAGAGCGGAAACCACGAAGGAGCAGTTACTTCTTTTATAACTTAGAGTGCAGGCCCGGGGAGCCACAGGGTTTATGCAGAGGTCTCCTGGGGCAGAGCTGGGACCCCTGGCCTCCTGCTGCTGCTGCCCAGGCAAACCCAGCCAGGCCTGGCACTGGGGGCAGGGTCTCCCAGGAGCTCCTCCCTTCCCCAGGGCCACCCACCTGCACCGCCAGCAGGCTCCTCTCTCCCTTTACTGCCTGTCACTTCCTCCAGCCCCTCCAGGGGCTGCAGGCGGGGTGCGCCCTCCCGTGCCCTCAGAAGGCATAGGCCCCCACAAAGACGGTGAGTCTCAGCACGGAGCTGGCCCGGTAGCTCATGAGGGAGTTCATGGTGACCATCTCCAAGTCCAGCACGTACTCCCGGGGGCCGGTCACAGGCCGGGCCAGGACCAGCATGGCGCTGACGTTGTTGATTTGCTGCGGGCACAAGGGTGGGGGGCCGTGCAGATGGCGTCAGCCTAGGCTGGGGGGCCGTGCTCGGCTCCACTTCCCTCCCACTGGCCAGCCCCGTGGTCTGCCCCCAGGGCTCCTGGGATTTAAGGCCAGGCTAGGTCCTGGGTGACCAGCACCAGGCCACACCCCTTCAAAGCATTTACATCCCCCAACAAAATTAAATACAGCAAGCTCTGTGGCACAGCAGGTTAGGCTCCACATGGAGTGAGTGCCCAGTCTGAGTCCCTGCTGTTCCAGCTTCCTGCTAATGCACCTGGTGGGCAGCAGATGGACCCGAGAGACCTGAGCTGGCCCAGCCCTGGCAGGTGGGAGCACTGGGGCAGTGAGCCTGCAGATGTGAAAGGTTCTCTCGAATGAGTACATCTTTAAAAAAGCACAGACGAATCCCACATCAGAGGGCCATGGGCTGGAGAACCTGGCACCACTTTGAGGACCGCACAGGAAGGGGCCCCAGGCCCCTGCACTTCCTCTCCACGCCCTTCCCGTCCTTGTTTCATGGTTTAGCAGCTGAAGTCAGATGGGAGGAAGCTCAAGCCATAGTGTGCAGGTCCTTCCTACCACCTGTCTGTGACTCCCCCCCCCCGGGACGTAGGATGCCCACGTCTGGCCCCTGGCAGGCCAAACTTAACAGGGAACCCCGGCTCCCATGAAGGGCTTCCGGGAACACCTTGGGGGGGAGGTGAGGGGAAGCCGTACCCTGATGTAGAAGTCTCCCTGTGAGTTTCCCGCACGGATCTGAAAGGCATTATAGGCGCCAGGGTAGACGGATGTGGCCTGGATCTGGAAGACGTCGGCCGGCACGCTGCGCTCCGACGTGATGCTCATGTAGCGGTGCACGATGGAGGAGGGCTGCTCCCGACACAGGGGGTTGGAAGCCGGACAGAGGCAGCGGCTGGAGGCCCCAAGACCGGGGATATACATCAAGTCCTAGCCCACCCGCCAAAGGAGCCTTCCATTCCTTCTGGAACTTGGAAGCAGGGATCAGTACAACTTCATGAGCCTTCATGGGCACGCATCACCCCCAGCCCCCTGCCCCCACCCCTGCACAGCCCTCTGGGAGTTAGAGTTCCAGCTGGCATCACACTGACTCACTTGTCAGCCACCTGGACGTAGGGCTCCACGCAGCGGTTCGTGTCCACGCAGCGGTAACCCCCGTGGAAGTTAACGCAGGTTTGGGCCTCAGAGCACTGGTGTGCCCCTGACTCACACTCATCAATGTCTGTGCCAGGAGAGAGGAACTGGCATCGAAAGCCCCTGGCACCAGCCTGCCCGCCCCACCCGGGCCAGCCTGACCTTGGCAGAGGCGCGTGGCCATCAGCTGGTAGCCCTGTGGGCAGTGGCAGGAGAACCGTCCCGGCTCGTTGACGCAGCGGTACTGGCAGAGATAGCTGGAGTAGCTGCACTCATCAACATCTGAGGAGGGTGGTGGGGTGAGGACCTGGGCCCGGCGTGGGAGGATGAGATAAGCCCCTCCGGCCACAGACCTCAGCCCCAAGGACTGCCAGGAACCAAAAACAAGCTCCTTGGTGTGCGCCCCACTGACGGATATGGGGGGAACCCGATTTTCGCTGTCTTAAAATGAATGGGTTAGGAGCCGGTGTTGTGGCATACCGAATTAAGCCACCACCTACAATGCTCACCACATCCCACAGGGGCACCAGTTCAAATCCTGGCTGCTCTACTTCTGATCCAGCTCCCTGTTCGTGCACCTGGAAAGCAGCAGAAGATGGCCTGGCCTAGCCCTGACCATTGTGGCCATTTGGGAAGTGAGTCAGTGGTTGGAAGACACATTTCTGTCTCTGCAATGATGCCTTTCAAATAAAAAAATCTTACAGGAAAAAAAAAAGTGGGTTGGACTAGAGAGATTGTGAGGGCCCAGCCTCGTTTCGTTTTCAATAACTTGGCCCAAACTCTGGAGCTCGCCAGGGAGCTACACAGACCACTTTTCTTTCTTTTTAAATTATTTTACTTGAGACCAGGAGATCTCCCACGTGATAGACGCCCAGCAAGTGAGCGGGGAGCCAGAACTGCAGGCCGGCCTGGAGCTGAACTTGGGGTTGCTGGGATAGGAGCCATGGGCGCCCCTAGTGGCCAGACACCCGTCCTGAGCGTGTGTTTCAGGGAAGACTGGTCCTGCCAGGTACTCCACAGCCAAGCCTGACCCGCCACGTGCCCGTTTTCACAGAACTGCTGAGCCCCTCTATGCTGCCCCCACACCCGGCTGGGAGCATCCCCGGGCAGGGTGACATGGGGTCCCTGGGAGCAGACAGAAGGTCCAGGGACCGAGGGGTAGTGGGAGGGCGCTCACCGCTGCAGGAGAAGCCGTCGCGGTGCAGTTCATAGCCCGGGTGGCAGCGACACAGGAAGGTCCCATAGGAGTTGAAGCAGCGCTGCTCGCAAGGGGCGCCCATCTCACACTCATTCACATCTGGGGGTGGGGCAGGTGGAATGAAAACCCAGGGAGGCTCAGCAAGGGCATTCCCTCCCCCCAGCCCGGGGGCCTGGCCTGGCCCAGCCTCACCCACACAGGAGCGGTTGTTGGGCCCCAGCTGGAAGCCTGGTTCACACTGACAGCGGAAGGAGCCAGGCAGGTTGACACAGCGGTGCTGGCAGTAGCGGTAGCGGCACTCGTCGATGTCTGCGGCAGAGGCGGGCGAGGGAGGGCAGAGGCCCGCTGGGACTTAAGGCCACTGACTGGACCGGTCAGCCAGGAATGTGGACATACATACACATGCACACACCTCGAGGTCCTGTGTGCCTCTGGCTGGAAGGCCCAGGCAGCAGGGGGCAAGGGACTGGGATCAAGGTCAAGTGCCCGGTCAGGGGGTCAGTGTAGAGGCTGCTGCCTGCACTCACCCACACACTCGGGCCCGATCTTGCGGTAGCCGTCGGGACAGGTGCACTCATACGAGCCGGGCAGGTTATGACAGTCCTGGCTGGGGCGACAGTCGTGCAAGGCCTGGGCACACTCGTCCACATCTGTGGGAGACACCACTGAGCCTCCACCTGGGCTCGTCCAACATGACAGGCACCCAGATGTCCCCGCGTAGGCTCCCCTGCAGAACACGGACACAGGGCTTGGACCCGCCCACCAGCCAGGGAGCCAGCAGGAAACCTGTCTTTGGCTGCACAGGAAACGGGGCACTGCCCACCCTTGCGCCCCCAGCAACAAGTGTCCCAGGATACCCTGCTTCCAGGGCCTGTGGCTTTCAGGGTTGGATCAGCCAAGCGGCAGGCGGCAGGGTCTCTTCAGCAAGCAAGGAGAGGGGCCCGGGGGGCAAGCGGGGAGGGGGGAGCATCCTAAGCCCCAGAGGAGCATGGGTGGACCCTGCATCAGTCACCCCATAGCCCCACGGGGCTGCTTGGTCATACAACCAAAACCCTGCACACACAGGGACTCACCCACACAGCTCTCCTGTTCGTCGGGCTCGTAGCCTGGTGGGCAGGAGTTGGGGTGCTGAGCGGGGGGCACTGGTGGGGGAGGCCCCTCGCCATGCAAGTCATTGATGACAGCGGCTGAGCGCGGCAGACACAAGTAGCCCCCGTAGTGGTTAATGCACTTCATCTCCCCCTTGCAGGCCTCAGGGATGGTCAGGCACTCGTTGACATCTGCAGGAAGGGGCCTTGCTGGCACAGCTAGTCTCCCAGCTGGCTCTGGAGGGAGGCATCGGTGGAGTGGGGGGCAGGCAGGAACCCAGCTGGACAATCATTCTCTGAGCTCAACAGGCGGCTAAGGTGGCAGGTTTGTCTACCTGGGACCTCTCCCCTCCACCTCCCTGGGGCCCGCCCAAGGCGCAGTGGGGCAGAAGGTGCCACCGTCCTGCTGGCTCCCCCGCTCCAAGTCCAAGAGCCAAATACAGGCCTCTTCACCCTCTGCCGGCGGCCAGCGGCTGCTGCCCTCCCAGGATGCAGAGGAACCAACAGCGGGGCTAAGAGGGCCCACTCTGCTGGGCAGTGCCCACTCTCCTTGTCCACTCTGGTGGGGGCCAGTAGGGGCAGGATTTCCTGGGTTTCTTGGAGAGGGAGGGGCCCCCTCTGGTTGAGCTGGCCCCAGCTCTCTTCCGGGTTCCTGGGGAGGGGGGTGTTGGTCCTGCAGGTCCACTCACCCCTGCAGTGCTGGCTGTCTGGGTCCCACTCGTAGCCATCGGTGCATTCCTGGAAGGGAACCAGAGGTGGCCATGCCCATCACCCCAGGGGGACTCCGAGGACTGGCCAGGCCAGGAATAAGGGGCCTGCTCATAACAGTGACCCCCTCAGCCCTTCCACCGCCCAGGGGGAGGAACAAGCTACTCAGACAGCAGCAGCCTCCCCTCTCAGGAACCCCCATCACCCGGTCCCGGCCCTGCAGCGCTCCTGGCCCCCCGCACCGTGAAGCTGTCGGGCTCCTCTGAGTCCTGCGGAGACGCTGCCCCCACGAGCAGCAGCAGCAGCGCCCAGAGCAGCAGAGACCCGGGCAGGCAGGAGGCGAAAGGAAGCATCCTGGGGCGGGAGGAGGCGGACAGGGGTCAGGGGTCTTCCAGCCCGGTCACCCCTCTCCCTGCGCGGAGCCCCGGTGCCGCCAGCTCCCCCGCAGCAGCCCTGGAGCCACGCAGGACCCCGGGGCCCACTCGTTTCCCATAGGCCCTGGGTTCCGGGACAACCCCGCCTCCACCCGGTTCCAACTCCAGCGGTGTGGGCCTCTCGGCTCCGTGGCCGCCGACTCGGCCGACACTCGGGCCCGCGCCCTCCCGCTCCACCGAGCTCCACTCACTCGGCCGCGACGGCCCCGCGCGCGGCTCCGGCGGCCAGAGCAGTGCCTGCGGGCGGACGGGCGGACGCGCAGCTCCCTGGACGCGCGGCCCCAGGAAGCGCCCCCCGCCCGCCGCGGTGCGGCCCACCCCGGCGCCTCCGCCCGCCGCGGTGCGGCCCACCCCGGCGCCTCCGCCCGCCCTTCGGCGGATTCCTGAGCCCGCGCCAGGGGGAGGGACCCCGACCCCCTGGCTTCTCCGCCCCCGGCCGGCCGCAGGCCCCCACCCGGTCCCCCGCGGCGCTGCCCGGGGCCGCCTCCCCCAGTGCTAGGTCTTGGAGCCAAGAACCTGGATGTCCAGCCCCCAGACTTGCCCCTGGAGCCCCTTGACTCTCGTCACAAGCGTCAGCCGGTGCACCTGGTCCCCACCTAGAGTGCGCGCTCGCAACTCCATCCGCGCAACCACCCCTCAATCTCGGACCCCCAGACTGGCGATCGGAGCCCCCCAGGAGGGGCTGGGTGCCGAGTCCCCGCTACCCTGGCCCGGGACCTCCAGATCCTGATTTGACTCTCCTGGTTTGTATTCTGCGGTCCTGACCGAGGTTCCAGACGCTCCCAACTTGTTATCCCGGGTCCCGGGACCCTTGCCCAGGGAGGAGCCGCTCCCAGGCGCGGCCACTGGCCCCTTCCTCCCGCTGCCCTCCACCCCAGGGACGTCTCCTGCCTGGGGGCCACCCCCATGCTCTCCACCCGCCGCAAAGTCACAACACTTTTGGGGGACGGGGCGGCCGTTCCCGGCTGGCCCCGAATGAATGGAAGCCCCCGAGAAGGAGGGCAAGCCCTGGGCGCACCCCTCCTCCTCGCGCGCCCCCAATGATGGGCGTGTCCAGGGCGGGGTCCGCTCCCAGGAAGGGGCGGGGCTTCGCGCTGCCCACGTCTCCGACCTGGGACTGGCAGGAGAGGGCTGCGTGGGCAGGAAAACCCGCGCTGGGCTGCAGGCTGTGAGCCGGGCTTGTCCGGTCCGCGCGTCCCTGTGCCACAACTGCTTGTCCCCCACGATCGCACGCCTCTTCTCGGCTGACTCAGGGAGAAGGGAAGGCATAATGGGACTCAGATGTGGGTACCCTTCCCCACTCCTGGAACAAGGACATTCAAAGTCAGGGTTCTTTTTTTTTAAGATTTATTTTATTATTTTTTAAAAGATTTATTTTATTCTTATTACAAAGTCAGATATACAGAGAGGAGGAGAGACAGAGAGGAAGATCTTCCGTCCATTGATTCACTCCCTAAATGGCCGCAATGGCTGGAGCTGAGCCAATCTGAAACTAGGAGCCAGGAGCTCCCTCCAGGTCTTCCACACAGATGCAGGTCCCAAGACTTTGGGCTGTCCTCAACTGCCTTCTCAGGCCACACGCAGGGAGCTGGATGGGAAGCAGGGCTGTCAGGATTAGAACTGTTGCCTATATGGGATCCTGGCAAGGCAAGGATGTCAGCTGTTAAGGCTTCCACACTGGGCCCTGAAGTCAGAGTTCTAAAAAGCCAGGAAAGCACCCACAAGTCCAGGCGGGGCTCTGGAGGCCTGGAGGCCCTCCTCCAGGGTAGCTGCTTGGGAAACACCCCGACCAACACACACCACTGGGGGACCTGGAAGACTGGGCCACAGGGTTGGAAAGAGCCCCCGTGTGGACGCAGCCCTCAAATGTGTGTCTGTCAGCTGGGGAGTGAGCCAGGGTGGGGGTGCCCACCTTGTTCAGGTGTGGTGTTGAGGCAGAGCTTAGCCGGGATGCGGGCCAGACTGCTGGGCAGTGTGCATGCCGCACTCCAAGAGGCCACATACAAAAGCCCCAGTGTCCACCCAGGTGACCTGGCCGCCTGGGCAAGGCTACACAGCCCGCAGCTAGTGGGGAGAGAAGGGGGGATGGGGCAACTGCTGCTCACATAGGGAGACCTGGAGGAAGTTCTTGGCTCCTGGCTTCAGATCGGCACTGCACCAGCCGTTGAGGTCACTTGGGGAGTGAATCATTGGACGGAAGATCTTCCTCTCTGTTTCTCCTCCTCTCTGTATATATGACTTTGCAATAAAAATGAATAAATGGGTTTTTTTAAGGTTCTCGATCGTCAAGAGCAGCTGCGCATAACTGAGGCCACTGTCCAGACAAGGGGGGAAGGCACCATTAGCAGCCCCGCCCTCAGGGGCAGGACAGGGTTGTACTGTCATCAGGGGTCTGGGCAGGGGGCTGCACCTAGCCTCATCCCACAGAGCCGGGGAACAGGCCTGAGGGGGGCGGCTTAGGGCAGCTGCTGACTCAAAGTTGGACTTTAGCTTCTGCCCCTCATCTTTAGTCAGCAGAGGCTGCAGGGGAGACTGCCAGGCACCAGGACCCAGCCTGACCCACAGGGAGTCGGCCTCACCAAGGGAGGGGGATCCGAGAGGAAGGTCCCACCTGCTCCCCAGCCCCAGACAAGACAGGGCTGTGTGGCACTCCTCATGATGCCCACCTCTTGGGGTTTTCCTGATCAGCAGGCCCCATAGCCACTAAGGGGCTGAGGTGGCCACGATGTGTTTCTTAGCACAAATCACTGGAGACCACCTGATTAAGTGTGGCCATTTACTGTAAAGCACGCACAAACGTGTATAGACTAAGAGAGGGGGAGGGCAGGGGGCACCTCCCGACAGTCCTCCCACTCAACAATGACACTGTCATTGGCTAGAAGGCACGACTCTCTCTGGACCCTCCAACCATGTCACAGGTCCCATCCAGCACTCAGAGATGGCAGGTAGGCTGGCAGGTAACGGGGGGTCGCACCTGACTTCTCAGAGTTGCTTGTCAAGGAAGTCCCAGCACAGCTCGTCCAAGGACAGAGAAGAGAGACTGGGATACAGTCCACCGCTCTCACCTGCATGGCCAATGAACAGGCCGGTCCAAGGTCTCTGTTGTCAAGGAGTTCCTTTGGGACGTGGTGTGCCCTTAACCTCCCACACAGGCCAAGCAGGCAGAGATCCAGGGGTGAGCTCCCAAACCCACCCTCTCTCAGGAGACACACATGGTGCCATGGCAGCTTGAGCCACAAAATTGGCCTCTGGACTAGACTCGCGGGGTGGGTGCCATGCTCGATGATCTACCTATTTATTTTTGGAAAGCTTATGTATTGATTTGAGAGGCAGAAAGAGCCTTCACCATCCCTTCCCCAGGGCTGGGTTGGCCAAAGCTGGGAGCCAGAAACCCAATCCAGGTCTCCTAGTGGGTGGCAGGGACCCAAGGGTGGGCCGCCACTGCTGCCTCCCAGGGTGTGTGTTAGCAGGAAGTGGGAGCCTAGGCCCCAGATGTGGGCTGCAGGAATCTGCATGCCAGGCCAACGCCCGGGGCTACTGTACATTCGTTGGTACAGACAGCACTGCTGGCTCGGTCTGGGGAAAGGGGCGAGTGTGGCCAGGGTATGTACGAACAAATGAGTCTTGGTGCAGAGCATCCACCCCCTTACCTTCAGCCCTGGAAGCCGGCGTTTCACACCCTTCTCTGCTGTCAGATGTCACATCCCAGCCACAGAATCCTCACTAATGTGGTCCCCAATCTGGAGGGTGCCACTCAGCACACGGAAGGCAGTTGTGGGTGCTATCCGCTGCCGTCTGGCCCCTAAGTTCAGACACTGGGCCTGCGCATCTGCAGCATCCTGTCTGCCCCCAGCCGGGCAGCAGCCAGTGGATAGCCCTTGAGTCCGCCCCAGGCCTTGCTTGTCCTGGACACTCAAGGACCTGGGCCCACTGGCCACCTCTGGAGTGGTGACCAGGGAGGTGGATGCCAAGTGGGCGGGGGTGCAGGTTACACCAGAGACTGGGGGAGCAGGGCAGACACTGTGGAGGAAGTGGCCCTTGAGCCGTCTGAGCCTCACAGGAGCACCAGGAATGAGTGGGTGGTCAGACCACCCTGGCTCCGCTCAGTTGTCAGCGACCTGCAGCTTCCCACGATGGCAGTGAGGTCCCTGCACTGACACTGTTGGCTGAGAATCTGCCTTGGGGGTTCTGGAAATCTCTCTGTACCCCCAAAGTGCCCAGGACACCATGAGCCTGAAGCCTTTGATCAAAGTAAAGCGGTGGGGCGGGGTTGAGGCAGCAGGGCAGGGCAGGGCGGATGCCTGAGCAGCCCCTGTGTTCTAGGGTTCTCCCCGCTCCCCACCCCTGCCGACCCCCAGCCTGTTTGCTCCCTGTGGTTTCTCCAGCTCCGCCCTCCCACTCCTCCACCTGGTTTGCACAGCTTCCTGCCCCAGGCACTCCGGACTGAACCACCATGAGACTCACTGTCCAGCTCTCCTGCCTCCTTGCCTTGCTGGCTGCAGGCCTGGGCCAGGCTGTCAGGGGCCCGGGCATCCAGGTGAGAGCTCCTCAGCCCTTCCCTCTGCCTGGAACAACTGGGCTGTCATTCCCATTCTTCGGAAGGAGTGGCTGAGGCTGCAGTGGCAGCTGCCTTGCCCAGGAGCCCAAGGCAGTGGCTGTCGACTGACCCCTGGGCCTGTCCTCGCAGGGCTGGGAGTGGCGGGGGGGATGATCCCAGCCCTGACTAACACGCTGTCACCTGTGTCTGCCCTCCAGGACCCAGGGCCCTGGCCACTGGAGCTAAAAGAGGCCTTCGCGTTGTTCCAGGTCCAGTTCAACCGCAGTTACACAAGTGCGGCAGGTATCAACAGTGGGGGGAATGGGGTGGGGGGCACTCCTGCAGCCCCCTCTCACCGTTAGCCAGATCCAGGCTTGGGAACAGACGAGAGGCTCAGCCAAGCCACTAAGCCAGATGTTGGCAGGGCTGTGGGCATATGTTCTGGTTCCCTGGGAGCATGCGTGGGTACAGGATCCTTTTCCATGAATTTGGTGGAGCCAGTGGCAGCTGCTGGGCATCTCCAGGCTCCAGGAAAGGGTTGGTACCACTACCCACCCATGCAGTCCAGCATACACCCATTTTGTCCCCAAGTTGGGGCCCTGCCCTCCCCCGAGTCCTCCCTCTGAGTCACGTCCCCCACAGGAGTCTGTGGCTGTGGCCCCAGTCCCGGCCGGCTCATCGTCCGCCCCCTGCCAGGTTCCAGCTCACAGCTGCGTCAGAAGTGGGAGAGGTGGAGACAGGCAAGGGCCCGGCAGGAAGCCACCCAATCTCCCTTTAAGTTCCTTTGCTTCCAGGTCCCTGGCGTGACCTAGCTCTAGGATAGGGGCAGATGTCCACCTTACTGCCTCTGGTACCACGCCCTGGGCCCGCTGCCTCAGCCCAGGGGTCTGCAGGGGTGACATGGGAAGAGCCAGTGTTCACCTGGGAAGGTGCAGGGCAGGGGGAAGTAAGAAGGGGGGCGAGCAGTGGCCACTTCCTGTACAGAGGCTTTGGGTACAAGTCCAGTGCAACTTTCTTTTGTTGTAGAGCAAGCCCACCGTCTGCTCATCTTTGCCCACAACCTGGCCCAGGCGCAGCAGCTGCAGGAGGAGGACTTGGGCACGGCTGAGTTTGGGGCAACTATGTTCAGTGACCTCACAGGTACCACAGGGGGCCGGGCAGGGGAGCAGGGCCTCCTCCAGGGCCTGCGGTACACTTTCCACTTCCGTGGGTAGGGGCAGGGGACCCTGAAGACCAGAGACCTGGATTCTGGTCTGCAGCCCCAGGGTGCAGGGGCGGAAACTCAGAGGCCCCACTGCCTGTGCGCTCCGGAAGAGGAGGCAGCGGTACAGGAAGATGCATACCACTGGAGCCCCACTCTCCCAGCCTTTCTGCCTCCCAGCATACTGTGGGACAGACCCAAAGAGCTGAGGATGTGGCTGGCTGGGGTGGCAGAGGCACTGTCAGGAGATGAGATTAAAGCTGGGACCTGGGGCCAGCATCATGGCTCAACAGGCTAATCCTCCACCTTCAAGTGTCTGCATCCCATAGAGGCACCGGTTCATGTCACTGCTGCTTCGCTTCCCATCCAGCTCCCTGCTTATGGCTCAAGTGCTTGGGATGCTATACCCACATGGGAGACCTGGAGGAAGCTCCTGGCTTTGGATCAGCTCAGTTCCAGCTGTTGCAGCCATTTAAGGAGTAAACCAGTGGTTAGAAGATCATTGTCTCACCTGCTCTCTTGTAAGGCTGCCTTTTCCAGTAAAAATAAATAAGTCTTAAAACAAACAAAAACCCCTGTGACCTGTCTGGCCTGCAGAGGAGGAGTTTGGCCAGCTTTATGGGCATCGGATGGTGGCTGGCGCAGTGCCCAATGTGAGTAGAGAGGCGGTGTCGGAAGCAGGCTGGGAGCCTGTGCCCCCCTCTTGCGACTGGCGGAAGGCACGTGGCGTCATCTTGCCCGTCAGGGACCAGGTATGTGTCACATGTCCCTTGCAGCCCAGCCTGCCCTGGGGGTTGGAGCAGCAGGAGGGCGGAGCCTGGACAGCACACCCTGCTCCATCCTCTGCCATCCCCACCAGGGAAACTGCATGTGCTGCTGGGCCATGGCGGCAGCAGGCAACATCGAGGCCCTGTGGGGCATCTGGTACCACAAGTCTGAGGAGCTATCGGTGCAAGGTGCGTCCAGGGGGCCTGCATATGGGGGTGGGAGTGAGGCCTGTCGCACACACACCTCCCCATTCATACACACACCGTCTCTTCCTGGACCAGAGCTGCTGGACTGCGACCGCTGCAACAATGGCTGCAATGGTGGCTTCGTGTGGGACGCATTCATGACAGTGCTGATCAACAGTGAGTGGCCAGTCGCCACCTCGCCGGGCAGGGGGGACCCTCACCATGGTGGGCGTGGGGTCTGCCACCCTATCCCTTATGCTTCCAGGAGGCCTGGCCAGTGAGAAAGACTACCCCTTCCAGGGCACCATGGAGCCCCAGGAGTGCCTGGCAAAGAAGTACCAGAAGGTGGCCTGGATCCAGGACTTCTTCATGCTGCCAGCCAATGAAGACAGTGAGCAAGGGGCGGGGGCTCGGAGGGGCTGGACCACAGGGACGGGCAGCATCTGTGGGCCGAGAGTCCCACAGAGGGTCAACCCTCTGTCCTCAGGAATTGCCCAGCACCTGGCCACCCATGGCCCCATCACGGTGACCATCAACAAAAAGCTACTGATGGTGAGTCGTGGTGGGGAGTGGGGGGGAAGCCCGAGAGGTCCCCCTCATGCACCCTGCTTCCGCCCCGCCCCACTGCAGCAATACAAGAATGGTGTGATTCAGGCCACCCACGCCCAGTGTAACCCTGAGATGGCAGACCACTCGGTCCTGCTGGTGGGGTTTGGCAGGACTGAAAAAGAGGAGGAGGAGGAGGGCAAGCAGGAGTCCCGCCCCCGCCCGCACAGCTCCATCCCTTACTGGATCCTGAAGAACTCCTGGGGAGAGAGCTGGGGTGAAAGGGTGAGTGGGACCTGTGGGGGAGGGGCAGGGCACAGGCCTGCAACCCCTCCGGGTCTGACGTTGCTGCCCGCCTCCCGTAGGGCTATTTCCGGCTGCACCGAGGGAGCAACACGTGTGGCCTCACCAAGTACCCAGTCTCAGCACGCGTGGACCTGCGAACTAAGAAGACCCAGGTCTCCTGCCCTCCGTGAGCCTACCTGCCGGATGCCACTGACCTTGGCCTGTCCCCTCCACCCCACATAGCCTCAATAAACCTCAATGCCCTGGTTCTGAGTGGGTGCCAAAGACTGGCACGGGCACAGCTTCCTGTGTCCCCGAAACATATGCCCTGCACCCCCATGAGTGACGCATGCGCCCTCAGTCCGCAGGTTCCTCCCCAGGGGCGATGGGGCCATCAGTAAACTCTTGGCAACTTTATTGTAGGTGTGGGCAGGGGGCTGGGTGGGGGGCTTAGTCGTGGTAGAGGCGCAGGAGGCAGCCCCGCAGCGTGCTCATGTAGCGGTCCCAGAGTGCCTGGTGCCTGCAGGGAGAACAGCGACCAGGCTGGCTGACGTGGGCATCCCCTCATGTCCCCTCGCGTGGGGAAACAGTCACAAAGACATGAGGCCACCCCCACCCCCAAGGAGGCCAGGGCCTAGGGTGTGCGGGGGTCTCTCACCGGAAGCCGTCCAGGGAGTGCACAGATGCCATATACTGACTGAGGAAGAGCCGCACATCTCCCAGCGGCCAGTGGTCCGAGCGGCAGGGTTCCACGAACTGCGGGGCCAAGGGAGTGTTAGGTGCCATGCAGCCAGCCCACCCCGCCGGCTGGTCAGGAATTGGGTGTGTGTGTGGGGGGGGAGGGCAGCAAGCAGTCAGCTTACCTTCTCCACCAGATCTACAAACAGGTCCCTGACATCCTTGTTGTGGGTCAGCTTGGCGGCCACGTTCACCAGCCCCCGGGACAGGTTCTGTGGGGCAGGGAGCCTGGGAGTCCTGCCTTCTGCCCCAGAAACCGGGGGTGGGGGGCTGAGCACAGAGGCTGGGGGAGGGGCAGGCCCCTCTGCATATCCATCCCCCTCCTTCAGTCAATCCTATCCCCACTTGAGGGGCCGGCGCCCCACTCCCATCCACCTCCCGCAGTCAACCAAGTCCCCACTTGAGGGGCCTGAGGCGGCAGCAGCGCCACCTGGCGGCCAGCCCCGGACAGGGGTGCTGCGCCCACAGACCTTGAAGTTGGCTTCCATCTCAGAGAAGACACCCAGCTTCCCGCGGAGGGCAGTGCACACCAGGCTGCAGGGTAGACTGGGGTCAGGCCCGCAGCCACTTCCATCAGCCCCACGTCGGGCCCTGCCCCAGAGAACCTCGTCACCTCTTGTGCAGGTCTAGAAGGTCCTTATCAGCCACAAGCACCTTGAGCTCCTTCAAGTCCTGCAGAAACTCCTTGTCCAAATCCATGTCCATGTCATCAGCCTGGGAGTCTGTGTGAGGCCCAGGGAGGGAGGCGGTGGGTGCCAGGGACCGGAGCCAAGGAGAGCTACCCCAGGAGTGGGAAAAACAGGTGGCCCAGGGCGCGTGAGGGGCCCTGCTGGGACGTGGGGGTCTGCAAAAGGACCTGCAGGTGGGGAAGCAGGCCCTGGGTGGGGGTGGAAAGGTGTCCAGAGCCCTAGGTCGGGTTGGGGTGCAGGAGGGGGCTCACCGCCAGCCCCAAGGGTCCAGTTCTGGATCATGAGCTCCGCGCAGTAGGCGAAGTCACCGAAGCTGAGGTACTGCAGCTTTTTCTTGCCCGTCTCAAAGCGGTTATTGGCAAAGAACACAATAGCCGCGTAGTCCCTGCTCGGAGCAGAGAGCGTCCTCGCAGGCCTGCGCCAGCCGTGCGCGCTGGCCTGCCCTGCCCCAACTCCCCCAAGTGGCCACCTGGGACTCGCAGCAGAGAGCGTCCTCGCAGGCCTGCGCCAGCCGTGCGCGCTGGCCTGCCCTGCCCCAACTCCCCCAAGTGGCCACCTGGGACTCGCAGCAGAGAGCGTCCTCGCAGGCCTGCGCCAGCCGTGCGCGCTGGCCTGCCCTGCCCCAACTCCCCCAAGTGGCCACCTGGGATTCGAACCCTGGTTGGGTCTGACCAAGAGCACAGACTGGAAGTGAGATGACAGCATAGCCAGAGGCCACAGGGGCAGGGTTGGGGGAGCCATGTGCAGGACGGGGTGGGGCGTGTGGCGCTCACCTGGCCAGGCGGTCTGAGAGCAGGAAGTGCTGCTGGATGTTGTCACTTAGTGAGCCCCGCATCTCCTCCACCACCTTGAAGACTCGCTTGAAGTTGTCAAACTATTGGAGGGAGGGCGGTGGAAGGACTGAGCAAGCAGCTGCTCATGGAGAATCCCCATGTGCGCCCACTCCGCTCCCGGCCCCTGTGTATCGGTATGTGGATGCTGAGTTAGCACTTATATTCCTTCCACAAATCAGCAGTTCTGGGTCTGGTGTGATGGCTCAAGGGGCTAATCCTCAACTTGCAAGCACCGGCATCCCATCTGGACACTGCTTTGTGTCCCAGATGCTCCATTTTCCATCTAACTTCTTGCTTGCGGCCAGGGAAAGCAATGGAGGATGGCACAAAGCCTTGGGACCCTGCTCCCATGTGGGAGACCTGGCAGAAGCTCCTGGCTCCTGGCTTTGGATCAGCTAAGCTCTAACCATTGCAGCCACTTGGGGAGTGAACCAGCAAATGGGAGATGTTTCTTTCTGTTTCTGCTTCCTCTCTCTGTAAATCTGCCTTTCCAATAAAAATAAAATAAATCTTAAAAAAAAAAAAAGTTCTTAGCTGCTGTTACGGATCCAATAAGGGTTTATCAGTTTATCAGTGTTTGTCGCTGTCTTGCCCTGGTTCCCATATGTAAGCTCCACAGGCCACTTTTCTTCACTAGTCTGCCTTGGGCCAGGGCCAGTGGCTACTGCCATCCCAGGGGGCAGCAGTAACAGGAGGAAATGAGCAGGGCAAAGCTACGTTCAGATATGGGCTTGTGCAAGGATTGCCCTGGCCACTGGCTTCGAAGGGACCAGCATGGGAGTGCAACAGGCCAGGATGAGGAAGCTGCCAGATCCAGAGGCTGCAGCTGGGCAGGAGCACGCACCTGTCGGCGGCAGCTCTTGAGGGTGATGCCAGTCTTGGCGCTGATGTCATCTAAGTCTTTCTTGGTGCCCTTGGATAACTTCTTGCCCAGCACCTCCCGGACAAAGGCCTCATCGAAGGCGTAGTACCTTGAAGCAGAGGCGGACGCCCGTAACCCTTCTGCCTGTTCCCACCCAGGCGTCTGAGTGCCCTGCTCTTCCACTGGAGGGGGGGGGCTCAGCCTGCAAAGGGCCGTGGTCAGGCCTCCCAGCCCCAGCACCTCTCGATGAGCAGCGCCTGCCGCGAGGGCGGGATCTGGAAGATGAGCTGGTGCAGCAGCTTGGGCGGCGCGTGCAACAGGCGCTCCAGCATGTGGAAGGTGCGGTAGTGGTCCATGGTGTCGCTCTGCAACACGGCGGCCGTGGCGCCCGTCTGCTCCAGGATCCCCGAGCGCACCCGCAGGGCCACCGCGTCGTTCACTGCGGGAAGGGAGGGTGGGGAGGACCGTAGCAGCAGGGTCCTCCTCACCACGCCCACAGGGGCCCCCCAGGAATCCCAGAAACCCGACGTCCGCCCCAAACGGAAAATACCAAGTGCCCGCCCCGCCCTCTCCCGCCGGCGGGCTCCCTGCCCCCCCAGACCTGAGTATCCATCCAGCCACAGGCGATACACGTCCTCGTCGATTAGGGTCGTGTTCCCTACGAAAATGTCCAACTCGCTGGCCATGGCGAGACCCCCGTCCCGCGCACCCGCAAGCAGGTGCAAGCGAGCACTTGCCCGGGCCGGGCGCGCCCCCTTCACGGAGCCGCTTCCGGGAGCGCCGACATTACGTTCCGGGTACCCGGACTTAGCGAAGGACCACTTCCGGGCGGCCGCGGCTCAGGGCGGAGACGCTGAGGGGAGATGGAGGTCCGGGCTGCGGGCGGAGTTCTCGGGTCTCGCCTCGGCCCCGCGCCGGCCGGTGGCGACAGAGCTTCGGGAAGGCCTGCTCGCGGCTCTAACGACCCCGTCCCCTGCCATTCGGGGTCCCTTAGCGCCCTTCCGGGAGCCGTCGTCCAGCCTGCACACCGGGCAGCTGCCGCCACACGCTCCCCACGCCCACACGCGTCTGTGACCCCTTGTTCGGGTCCACAGCGCTGCCCGCAGTCACATCCCGAAGGCCCTCGGGGGGCGAGGGGTGGCGCAGGTTCTAATCCCGGCTGCTCCACTTCCCATCCAGCTCCCTGCTTATGGCCTGAGAAAGCAGTGGAGGACGGCCCAAAGCTTTGGGACCCTGCACCCGCGTGGGAGACCTGGAAGAGGCTGCTGGCTCTTGACTTCGGATTGGCTCAGCTCTGGCCGTTGTGGTCGCTTGGGGAGTGAACCAGGGGATGAGGGCTCTCTCTAAAAGTGCCTTTCTTCTTTTCTGTTAGTTTTTTTTTTTTTTTAAGATTTATTTTTATTGTAAAGTCAGATATACAGAGAGGAGAGACAGAGAAGATCTTCCGTCCGATCTTTTACTCCCCAAGTGACTGCAGTGGCCAGTGCTACACCGATCCAAAGCCAGAAGCCAGGAACTTCCTCCTGGTCTCCCATGTGGGTGCAGGACCCCAAGGCTTTGGGCCGTCCTCGACTGCTTTCCCGGGCCACAAGCAGGGAGCTGGATGGGAAGTGGAGCAGCCTGGATTCAGGCAGGTGCCCATATAAGATGCTGGCATCACAGGAAGACGACTAGCTTGCTAAGGCACCATGCCCACCCCTGGCAGCCTTAAGCAAGGGGGCTTCTGCCTGCCTTCGCTGTCTGCCTCCCTCTCTGGCCACTGACCCTCATCCGCCCCGCTGCGTGCCCGTGCCAGGGGGTGGCTGCTGCATCTTCGGGCTCCTGGCCTTGGACCAGCCCAACTGCGGCCGCAGTGGCCGTTTTGGGAGTGAACTTGGTGGAAGATCTCGCTCGCTCTCTCTGCCTGTGCTCTGTAATTCTGCTTTATGAATGCATACATAAATCTTTTTGTAATAAGTTCTTTGTAACACTGCCTTTCAAATAAAATCTTAAAAGAAATATTTCTACATGGGCGTTGCACACAATAACGGTTTATGCGACAAACAAACGAATCCCTTGTCCGTCCCTCCCCACAGACAGGAAACGCTGCCGGGGAAGCGGGGAGGGAAGGAGGGGGCAGGCAGGCTGATGGTCAGGCAGGACGCGGGGGCTCGGGGTGTCCAGGAGCTGGGAGCCAGGCTCAGCAGCCGGGACTCCGGCTCCTCTAGGGCATCTGGGGTTGCGCAGGAGTCAGGCTCCGAGAGGCCGGAGATCGCCGCTTCAGTCCGGGTCCGGAGCGGGACGCTCACCCAGAAGGGGGCGAAGGCTGGGGGCTCCCACACACACGGTCTGCAGGGGCCGAGACCCCGCCGCCCGGAGTGGGCGGGCCCCAGGACTCCACCCCTTTCCGGAAAGACGTCTCCGGATTGGCTGCGCTTCCTGGACGTCATGCGGCCCCGCCCCGGCGCGCGCCCCGCCGCGTGCCCGCCCCTCCCGTGCCCGGGGGTGGCTGCTGCAGCCTCCGCTGCCGGTTCGGGCCACACTGCCTGCCGCCGGCGATGCTCCAGCGGCCCGGGCAGCCATGGAGGCCGAGGCCGGCGGCCTGGAGGAGCTGACGGACGAGGAGATGGCGGCTCTGGGCAAGGAGGAGCTGGTGCGGCGGCTGCGGCGGGAGGAGGCGGCGCGCCTGGCGGCCCTGGTGCAGCGCGGCCGCCTGATGCAGGAGGTGAACCGGCAGCTGCAGGGTCACCTGGGCGAGATCCGCGAACTCAAGCAGCTGAACCGGCGTCTGCAGGCTGAGAACCGCGAGCTGCGCGACCTCTGCTGCTTCCTGGACTCGGAGCGCCAGCGCGGCCGGCGCGCCGCTCGCCAGTGGCAGCTGTTCGGGACCCAGGCATCCCGGGCCGTGCGCGAGGACCTGGGCGGCTGTTGGCAGAAGCTGGCCGAGCTGGAGGGACGCCAGGAGGAGCTGCTGCGGGAGAACCTGGCGCTGAAGGAGCTCTGCCTGGCGCTGGGCGAGGAGTGGGGGCCCCGCAGCGGTCCTGGCGGAGCGGGGGGCCCCGGGGCCGCGCCGACCCCTGAGCTCGCCCTGCCCCCCTGCGGCCCCCGAGACCTGGGCGATGGAAGCTCCAGCACGGGCAGCGTGGGCAGCCCCGATCAGTTGCCCCTGGCCTGCTCCCCCGAGGACTGAGGGAGCTGCTTCCTCCTCGCCGACGCCCGCCCGGCTTGCGTCCGGAGCACCTGGGCACCGCTGCGGACCTCAGGGCCTGGATGCCAGCCCCGACTGCGCCCCGAGATGAACCCCAGCGTCCAGGAGGAGGGTCCCCCGCGCTCGCTGGCGGGGCAGCGGGGGGACTGGAGGCTGCAGCCGACGGGCTGGCTTGGGGCTGGGCGGGGGGCTAATAAACCGGCACGGAAGTGGAGCCCGCGCGGCCTGGGCAGCCTCTGTATGACACTCGCCGCTCCTGAGGTAGGGCACCCTCCCACGGAGGTGGCCCGACACCCCTGCTGCCTCGAGTTTGGGGTGGGAATGCACCCTCCCCACCCCCACCTCCAATGCCGGGACAGACCGTGATCCTGTCCCTGAAGCTGGTCCAGCTCCCTTCCTGTGCTAGACAATGGGGCAGGATGCAGGTGCTGGGGGCCTCGAACCCCCCAGGCCGCTTCGGGAGGGTGGAAGGGGGAGGGAACAGCGCCCCGTGTGGCGCTTGCGGGAACTCCGTGGTCCCCCACCCCCCACCCAGGGGCTGACAATCCCCTCCAGTTGCACCCCAGAGCCGCCGCCCCCTCTCGCAGCCCTGCCCCAGGAGGCTGAACTTGACGCAGCTCTGTGGGTGAGATAAGACAGGCAAGATACAAAAGTATCACAGAATGTGTCTGAGGTCACGCAGCAGTGAGTCTAGGGCTTTGGGCTCCAAGGAGACACCCAGGGCCAGAGTTTCAAGCCTTTTATTTCCATCTGGGCAGGTTTGTATAAAAATACTCTTCTTTAGAAAATAAATAGCAGCTGCCCTTCCTCGTGAGGGGGCCTGGATTCACCGGGGCTTAAACCTCCGGCCACTTGTGCAGGAGGGGCCGGTGGAGTGTCCTGTGCTGCTGCCGAGGGGTTGGGGGCAGGGGTGGTACTTAGTGTTCTGCACTGGAAGAATCTGCTGTCTGGGGTGTTGGGGAATGGAGTTGGGGGACAGGAAGAGGCAAGGGCCCCCAGGGGTCTGGAGTCTTTGGGGGGCTGTCCACAGTTTTGGTCTATGATTTAGTGTCAGTTGTGCTAGAAAAGCCAGCTCTAGAAAGAGGAGGGGCAGCTTTGGTAGCTCCACCCACTGTACCCACTTTCATCTGGAGGACCAGGCCAGCTGGACCCGTGGGGGGAGGGGGGAGAAGACGCTGACTGGCTGGCTGGGGTGGCACCTGCAGGGAGGTGGAGCCAGGGGATGGGGTAGCGGGGCTGGACTGCCTCATAAAGCCAGGAGGGTTGGGGAGCCCAGGGGGTCAGAGGACAGGTCCGCACTGCTGCTGCTGCTCTTGCGATGAGCTGAGGCACAAGGCTCCGGGGTGCTGGGATAGGTAAAGACCAGGCTGGGGGTGAAGGGAGTCAGGGAGGGTGTGGTCATGAGCGTAGGGGTGTGCAGGGCCTCAGGTTCCAGCACAGGCCCCGGGGAAAGGGAGATGCAAGGCACGGGGCGCGAGGGGGCTGGTGGGCTGTGGGCGCGACTGGACGAGCTGCCCGCGGCCGCCTTGTCCTGCTCCTGCGCTCCCTGGGGCATCTTGCAGATGGGGCGGTGGGCTTCCAGCACCAACTCCAGGCGCTCCTTCTGCTTCTGCAGCTCCTCGATCTCACGCTGCAGGGCGGACTTCTCGTCCTCCAGCTTGTCTGTCTCCTGCAGAGGGAAAGAAGGGGGCCCCCTCCCCATCAGAGAAGTGAGGGCATCTCCTTGGGGGTGGGGTTTCCCCAGCAGGGCTGGACTGCAAGTCCCATGAGCCCTTGGGAAAGCAGGGGCACAGCTCCCATCAGGCCTGGGGTGGCTCTGAAGGAAGGAGACTGCTGGTCAGGCTGGTGCTCAGCTCTACTGTACCCTGGTTGTGAGGGAAACATTTTTGACAGTTTTTTTCCAGGAGGACTGCCCCTCCTGTCCTGCCCAGGATGAGGTGCAGCCAGAATCCCTGGGGAGCTCAGGGGAGTGGGGAGCCGGGGTGCTCTCAGCACGGGCCAGCTCACCGCCTGCAGGAAGTCGGTCAGTTCCTTCCTCCTGTTCCTGCACTTGGCCGCCGCCAGCTTGTTCCTCTCTCGTCTCACTCGGCGACGCTCCTCTTCCTCTGGGCTGATCTGGGGGCAGGGGAAGGAGGCAGACCCTGGTCACTGCTGCCTGGAACTTACCCTTTGGCCATGCCACAACCTGTGCCATGGACACCACTGGACCCCGAGTTTAGTGCTCACAAACCTAGCCCTCCTTGTTTTCCAGGGACACAGCTAGGGCACCCCGGCCTCCAGCAAGCCTCCCCTGGGCCCCAGATGTGAACGTGTCCCTTTTCACAGTGCTCTCTTCTTGCTGGCTCTTGATCACCAGTGCTGTCCCCAGGATCTGTGAGTGCGGGGAGGGCTCAGCACGCCGAAAAAGCTGCAGTTTGGGAGGCATCTTCTATGGGCAGCTCAACATGTATATCATTTTTAATAAGATTTATTTATTTGGAAGAGTTACAGAGAGAGAGAGACAGGTCTTCCATTTGCTGGTTCACCCTTTAGATTCTACATGGCCAGGGCTGGGCCAGAAGGCAGCCAGAAGCCAGGGTTCATCTGGGTCTCCCCTATGAATGGCAGGGGCCCAAGCACTTGGGCCACCTTCTGCTGTGTTGTTTTTCCAGGCAGGCAGCTGGATCAGAGGCTGAGCAGCTGGTAGTTGAACTGGTACTATATGGGATGTTGGCATGGCAGGTGGCAGCCTTACCCCCTATGCCATAACACTGGTCTCCAGCACATATGTTCTTAACCCATCTTCCATGCCAGGAACTGAGCCCTAGAGCAAGGTCAGGGAAGTGTAGCTGGCGTATGCTTTTAGGGCAGGAATTGGAATCCATGCACTCCAATTAGCGCTGAGTGACAGGCCAGTGAGTAGAGACCATGCACCCCACGAGGCCCCGTCCCAGCCCCAACCTGGGGACACCCAGGGAGGAAGGAGGCAGAGAGGGGTTGCCCCTGCCTGCTTCTGTTGCTCACGGCCCTGTGGCTGTTTGCTCTGTTTTGGGGGGTCCATGGCCTTTCTCATCATCCCAACTGCACCCCAGCCTCTACCCAGCCTTCTGAGCAAGCTTTTTCCCCACGCAGCAGAACATGGCAGGGGAGGGAGCAGAGCCATCTCTTAGAGACCCCCTTCCCAGGGACAAGTGGGGTCAAGGTCTGACTGTACAGTTGGGACCGACCTGGGGCCAGGCCTGTGCCCCTTCTCACGACTGTGTGACCCCAGGTGAGAGAGGACACCTTTGTGGTGGCTTCATTCCCTCGGTGGGAGCTGTGAGCACACACATGAGAGGGCAACCCCAGGGACGCCCCCCCCCACCCCGCCAACATTCCTGTCCCCTCCCAGCTGCCTGGCAGAAGCGATCCCAGCGCAGCCCCTCCCCTTCGCTCACACGCACCGGTACATGGTCTCACCAACCCCTCCCTTTTGAGCCCTCTGCCCCCTCTCCATCTGGAATGTTCTTCCCTTCATGCCAAGAGCTGCTACCTTCTCCAGGAAGCTCTCTCAGGTGCAGGAATGACCTTTGTTGCTCCTGGGGGTGTGGAGAGGGGGGCTTCCCAGGAGCTCCTGTCACTTCCTTCCCTGGCAACAGGGCCCTCCTTCCCCCCTTCTCTCTTGTAGCCAGAGAACCGTGTCCATCGCCCCCTAGCGTCCCTGGGCCGTTAGAGCCAGTGCTCCTTACCTGTTCACTGGGCCGGCGCCAACCTCCGGGGGGCGGCTCCAGGGCCTGGATGACTCCGGGTCTGGGCTGGGGAGGGTACTGGGGGTAGGCCAGGGGTCTGGTGGGGTGACCACTGGGCCCCAGAAAGTGAGGCTGCACCATCCACTGCAGTTCCTGGCTGCCACTCACAGTGTTGAGGCTTGGCACCAGGTAGAGTTTCTGAGGGGCAAGAAACAGGGAGCTGAGGTGAGGTGGGTGGGGGTTACAAAGTTCCAGGGAGACAAGCTACCCACTGCCCGGGCCCCCTCGGTGCACAGGCTGGCTCACAGCCTGGCAGGCAGAGACACTGACGGAGGGCAAATCTCCACTCACAGCTGTGAGACAATGGGCAGGCTACCAGCCTCTCCATGCCTGCTGTCCCCTTATTAAGTGTGAACCACCAGCTATGCTGCCAGCCACTTTACAAAAGTCGAGTCACATCACAGCACAAAACGGGAGGCCAGCTGGCCACCGCCTGCAGACTAGGCGGGAGCCTGGGCTCCTCAGCCTCTCCTTGCACTGGGAGGACACGGTAAGGCAGGTGGGCAGCTGTGACAGCCCCGTGCCCAGCGCCGCCAGCGAGGGGCGCTGCTGGGACTCAAGCTGTCTCCATGCAGCCACTGACTTAGTTGTTTTATCTTTTGTGCCGCAATTTCCCATTTGTACTATCATGGTAGCTGAGGATGACAACATTTCAGGGTGCCAACCTGCACCCTCTGACAGCTTGGAAGTCACCAGCGCGTTCAAACAACTGGACGGCACAAACCGTGCATCTTTTCATCCGTGGGGTCCTAAATCAGGGCACCCTGGGCACCCAACACCAGGTGGCACCATCCAATGCACTTCTAGGTGTCTTCCATGGTGTCCTCTTTCAGCCGGAAATCTAAGGGACAGGCTGGAATGAGGGTGTTGCGTGCTCTGGAAAAGCGAGGTTCAAGCCCAGCGCACGGAGCCCCGGGTGTGGGAGCCTAGGCCACCGCGAGGCGCGGTGCTCCACAAGCTCAGGCAAGTCCGGACAGCCGCGGGCCCGGCAACCCAGTGACCCCAGTTCCGGGCCCGCGGCACTGCCGGCAGCGTCCCCGCTCCAGAAGTTGTCCTGGGTCCTGGCCACTCGCGGCCAGGAAGGGAGGGGCGCCGCGGGGTGACTCAGCCGCCGTGACTCGGCGGAACGGACGCTGCTCCTTCCCTCCCCTGGCGACACGTGCTCGCCGCCCCTCGACAGGAAATGGGCACCTGCGGCTGCCAGGTCCCCCCAGCCGACAGCGGGCGCCGTTCCGGGCAGGGAGTCCGGGTGGCGGGGGCTGGAGGTGCAGGGGTGCGCGCGTGCCAGCTGCCCGCTGCGTGACCCCACGCGCGCCCTGGCACCAGCACCACGACATCCTGATTTACCTCAGCCCGCAAGGGGGTCCACAGCGGGTGCCCCTGCCCCCGAGCAGCCAGCTCGGATGCGTGGAGGAAGCAGCTGGGGGCTGGACGTCGGGGTGGGCCAGGCCATCCACACGGCTAGTGGCCGAAGCCGGTGGTCCAAGGAGGTCCCGCTGCCTGCTGCCCCAGGCGCGACCCGGACTGCGGAGTTGAGGAATTGAGCTGCTTCTAGGGTCCTGAGGACGTCTTTCAAGCCTTCCGGGCTAGGACTCCCCCAAACGTCCCACGTTCCTCCCGAGGTAAGCAAGAAGATGCTCGGACCCGAAAGACAGACTGCGGACGGCGAGGGGGCGGGTCGCGCGGGCAGGGTCGGCGGGCAGGGGGCAGCTGGCCCCTGGGCTGCCGAGAACACTCAGGATCCAGGGTCCCGGCCCCTAGATCTGCGACACGAACGGGTTCTCCGCTCCAGCCCCGAGTGCGCGGGAGCTGACCCCGGCGTCCCTAGCGCGGTCCACCCTCGCGTCCACTCCCCCTCCGTCGGAGAGGGGGACCCTAGGTGTGCCGCTCGCTCTCACCTGCTGCGCCGCCGCCTGCGCCACGCCGGGGGGCTGCGCGGGGCCTCCGTACCCGCTGCCGGCCCCGGAGCTCGGGCCGGGTTCGCTGAAGTCTCGGTACATGCCCTAGGCTGGTTGCTTCGTGGGGTCCGCGTCGGCGGCTGGGGTTCTGACTCAGACGCGCCTCGCGGAGTCTCTGGGTTTTATGAATGAAAAGTTTTCGGGCTGAACCACTTGCGACCGTGGGGGGTGGGGCGTTGCGCGGCGGCGCGGGTCCCGGCGGCGGCTCCACCTCTCCCGACGCGCCGCCCTGTGCCCGTTTGCCCCCCACTCCTCGGACGCGTCCCGCTGCTTGGGGGCAGCTGCCTCTTCGGGGCGGGGGAGAAAAGGGGCGGCTGGGCGTCCCCCAGACACCGCGGCGGGCCCGCCCCCTGTGACGTAGCTGCCCATACATGGTGCAATTTCCTAGCGGCGCGCAGGTGGAGTCCAGGATTCCCCGGCGTTTTACGCACCTGCCGGGAGCCGTGCGCCCCGCCCAGCAGCTAGCCCAGCCACTCGCCGGTTCCCGGACGGCGTCCTCGAGCTTTCTCGGTGTGGGCTGGTCGTTTTTGCCTGAGTCAAAGAGAACAAAATAATCATAGAGCAGCCTGACCACGCCAGGGGAGGTTGCGACGCAGGCTGTGAAGACGACCTGGAAACCGTGAAATGCATAGGGAACAAAAAAGCTATGCGGTGAATTAGTTCCATTCTCACCACGTCCCGGAAGCCTGGAGCCTTGCCGGCTGCTCGAGGCCTCACCGCCCTGAAGTCCCTCCACTCCTAAGGCTCCGGCTTTACCCGAAAGCCAGTGACTGGCAAACTGTAGCCCTGGAAAAGGTGGGATATCTTAAATGGGAACGGTGAAGACGCTGTGGCTTTGAACTATCCACAAGCCAACTGCAGCGAAAATGTGGTTATTCGGTGCGATTGCAAGGAGCTACAACTTTTCTTTTTTGTATTTAACAATTATTTATTTTTGTTTGAGAGGCGGTTACAGAAACAGAAGGAAAGACAGAGAGAGTGAGTGAGAGAGATTCTTCCGTTTGCCGATTCACTCTCCAAAGAGTCCATCCAAAGCCTGGAGCCAGGTGCTTCTTCCAGGTCTCCCATGTGGGTGCAGGTGTCCAAGCATTTGAACCATCCTCGACTGCTTTCCCAGGTCATAAGCAGGGAGCTGCATGGGGAGTGGAGCAGCCAGGATTCCAACCAGCGCTCATATGGGATGCATGGACGGCAGACAGACTTAACTTACTACGCCATGGCAGAGCCATGACAGGCAGAGCCTCCGGTGGGATGCAGGTGTCCTGCGGTCTGCTGTACTGCTCCTGTCCTTTGGGGACTTCCTGGCCACTAGACTTAGTGGGATTGTGTAGGAATGAGGCACCAGAATCAACTCTGCACGACAGGGTCTGTCCTCATTTCTGTCCACTTCTATGAAGACTGAGGTTGTGAGCCCCTTGAAGGCCACATGACAAGAATGATTCTTGTCAAGCTAGCCCAACTCAGCTAGGTTTCCTCAACCCCCTCCCTCCCAGCCCTTCCAGTACCTTTTTCTCTTCTGACCATTTTACAGATGGCAAGACTGAGGTCCAGCAGAAGTCAGGAGCTCCTAGGGTCCTAGGGCTGCATTGGGCCCTCCTGCTTGCTTGCCTGTCTGATCATGGATCAGCCCCCAACTTGCTTTCAGGGAGGGCCTGCCTGGAGAGCTGAGTGAGGCTAAGGGGTCTGTGGGCACACGCCAGGGCACCAGGAGACAACTTTAACTCCGAGTGTCCAGTCCCAGGGCTACCATTTGCTGTGTGTGACCTCACATATTTTTCCAACCCAGCCCCTGTCCCCGTAGGGCTTCCCTGCAGACCCCTGGGGTTGCTGTGCCCCAAGCAGACCGCAAATGGGAATGTGCCCTGCTTGGAAGGGCACTCCCAATTGGGTGCCCCTTCCTTGCCCTGGTTCCAGCAAGGATTGAGATGAGAAATGCTGGTGAGTGAGAGAGAGAGAGAGAGGAGCAGGGTCAGAAGCAGTGACCTCTGCTAGGACTGCCCACCCCCTGGGTAGGCTGCAGGGTCCTGCTTTGCCCTCAGCTATCAGATGGAAACATCATAACTGCATCTGAGGGTTGTTGGAAGGGAGAGGTAGAATAAAGTCACAGCTCAGCACAGCGCAAACACTTGACAAAAGTAGCAAAACAGAGATATGCAGTTTTGTGTGTGTGTGTGTGTGTGTGTGTGTGTGTGTGTGTACATGACCAGTCTGAAAGTCCCTTCCTGCCCCAACCGTCGGCGGAGCCACAAGGAGGCCCACTGAGAGGCAGTGCATTCCAAGTCCTTCAGTCACCAGCTCCTGCCTTGTGGCTGCACGGACGCTCCCAGTGCCCTGACCTCACCAGCCCCTACCCGGGGACGCCAGGAGAGGACCAACCCAGGCAGCCAGCAGGGCGGGGTGGGGCTGCCTGGGGAGCCCTTGAGTGACTGGCCGCTTCCCCACCGGCTCTCTCTCTCTCTCTCTCTCTCTCTCTCTCTCTCCCTGAGCCCCCTGGGATTCTTGGGGCTGCAGGAAGTGACCAACGGTGACCAAATGGTGCCCAGCAGAAGCCCTGTGCAGCGGGGGCATTGGAGGTGATGTTTACATTTGCCTGGCCCCGTTCTCTTTTTAAATTGAGGTTTACTTTTCACAGAGGTGAAACTCCCATAACGTACAATTAACTGTTTCCAAGTGGCCACTGCAGTGGCATTCAGGCCAGTCAACAGATTGTAGAACCGCCACCTCTCTTTAGTGTCCAAACTGTCTCACTCCAGAGAAGCACCCGGTATGCATTAATCACTGCACCGATTCCCCCCACCCCCGTCGCCCCCCATCCTCTCCAGGCACCACACAACTGTCCTCCCTCTCTGCTTCTGTCTCCATCATTTCTTTCTTTTTCTTTTTTAAGATTTATTTATTTTTATTGTAAAGTCAGATATACAGAGAGAAGAAGAGACAGAGAGGAAGATTATCGGTCCAATGATTCATTCCCCAAGTGACCGCAATGGCGGGTGCTACACCGATCCGAAGCCAGGATTCAGGAACTTCCCCCTGGTTTCCCACGCAGGTGCAGGGTCCCAAGGCTTTGGGCCGTCCTCGACTGCCTTCCCCTCGACTGCCTTCCCCGGCGAGGACTTAACCACTTGCGCCACCGCGCCGGGCCCTATCTTATTTATTTATTAAAGACTTATTTATTTGGGCCCGGCGCGATGGCGCAGTGGTTAAGGTCCTCGCCTTGCACGCCCGGGATCCCATATGGGCGCCGTTTCTAATCCCGGCAGCCCCGCTTCCCATCCAGCTTCCTGTCTGTGGCCTGGGAAAGCAGTTGAGGACGGCCCAAAGCTTTGGGACCCTGCACCCGTGTGGGAAGAAGAGGCTCCTGGCTTCGGACCGGTTCAGCTCCAGCTGTGGCGTCTGCCTGGGGAGTGAATCATCGGATGGAGGATATTCCTCTCTGTCTCTCCTCTCTGTATATCCGCCTTTCCAATAAAACTAAAATAAATCTTTGAAAATAAAAAAAGATGTATTTATTTTTATAGGAAAGGCAGATATACAGAGAGGAAGAGAGACAGAGACATACATCTTCCATCTACTGGTTCACTCCCTAAGTGACTGCAACAGCCAGAGCTGAACCAGTCTAAAGCCAGGAAACAGGAGATTCCTCTGGGTCTTCCACACAGGTGCAGGGTCCCAAGTCTTTCGGCCGTCCTCGACTGCTTTCACAGACCACAATGGCTGAATGGGAAGTGGAGCAGCCGGGACATAAACTAGATAGAGCCCTTATGGGATCCCGGTGCTTGCAAGGTGAGGATTTAGGCATTGTGTTGTTGTGCCAGACCCTTATTCTCCATCCTCGGGGCGTAAGGTACTAGCTCACTGCTGTGTTTCCTTGGTTACCTGTTTGCTCATGTGCTTCTTCATGTTAGGGATGCAGTATCTCCTTTGGATAGAAGTCGCTCCTACTCCTTGGTCTGTTTGAAATGGGGTGGTTGTTCCTTTGACTTGCACCAGTTATTCCTGTATTCTTCATTTCTTCCTCTTCAGGAGGAGGTCTTTGCACATTCACGGTGAATCCTCTGAGCTAACAAAGTTGATTGTTGGGGCCAGTGTCATGGCACAGTGAGTTAGGCTGTTATTTGACACACCAGCACCCTGTATCAGGGGACACCGGACCACCGTGCCCGGGAAAGCAGCGAGATCATCGAAGCCTTTGGGTCTGGCTTCTTTTGCTGGCCAGGCCAGTAGGTGTCACCTGGGCTGGTGCTGAGCCAGGTACCTCTGCTGGCTGCTTTCCAGTGGAGGATAGTCTAATCACTCCCCCATTTTCCTGGCGCTGCCTTTATGATGACAACAAAATATCTGCATTTATGGAGAAAAGCGATTTCCATGGCTCACTTTTGGGGGGCCAGTGATGTGGGTAAAGCCACCCCTTGCAGTGCTCGCATGCTCTATGGGCACCAGTTCAAGCTCTGGCTGCTCCACTTGAATCCAGCTCCTGGATAATGTGCCCGAGGAAGGCTGCAGAAGAGGCTCCAGTCTGTGCTCCTGCAGCCACACAGGAAACCCAGATGAAGCTTCTTAGCTTCCACTTGGGTAGCGAGCCAGTGGAAGAAAGGCCTCTGTATGTCTGTAACTCTATGATCAGATAAACAGATAGAGAAATCATTTTAAATTAAATGTACATTTTACAGATACAAGAGGCTCCTTCAAAAGTTGAATGAAAAAGTACATTTGGCCAGCGCGGTGACCTAGCGGCTAAAGTCCTCACTTTGCACACACCAGGGTCCCAAATGGGCGCCGGTTCTAATCCCGGCAGCCCCATTTTCCATCCAGCTCCCTGCCTGTGGCCTGGGAAAGCAGGCAAGGACAGCCCCAAAGCCTTGGCACATGCGTGGGACCCAGAAGAGCTCCTGGCTCCTGGCTTCGGATCGGCGTAGCACCGGCCATTGTGCTCACTAGGGGAGTAAATCATTGGATGGATGATCTTCCTCTGTCTCTCCTCTCCATGTATCTGATTTTGCAATAAAAATAAATAAATCTTTAAAAAAAAGGAATAAAAAAAG